GATCCTGTCACCTTAAGCAGAAGGGAGTGTGACAGTTGGAGCTCAACTGGGGCGGCAGACCCATTTCTCAAAGGGAAAACCAAGGCTTACTGGTTTTCCATTAAGGTACCCATGCATGTGCCCCACCTCCTGCATGAGTCTGCATGTGTGCCCCATTCCCACATGTGTCTGCATGTGCACATACCCTACCTGCATCCACACACATGCCTGCTCAGCCCTCTTCTGACACAGTGACTTCAGGTCAAGAACTGGCTCTCACCTCAGGCGTGAAAAACTCTACCACAGCAATGTCATGAAGAAAGCAGTCTACCTCACTCCCCAAACAAGCCCAAAGCAAGATATCAGCCCCAAAAAGTGACACAGTGTCAATGAATTTCCTGAAGCCAGAAAGTCTGATGGAACTTTCTGATAGAAAATTTAAAAGAACAATGACTGAATATTTTCAATGAGTGAAAGACAAACTTGAAGAATTACAGGACACTGCAGGCAAAACCCAGGAGGAGATAAATTTAAAAAAATCCAAAAACAATGCAGATAAAACAAATGAGGCATTAAAGGCTCAGGAAAAACAAGAAACCACAATCCAAAATATGAGGTCCAATGTTTCAGATGCTGTCAACATGATGGAAGGACACATGAACAGAGTTGAAGAGATGGAGCACAGAACCAGTGAAATAGAGGATAGAATTGTCACCACTGATATGCTAGAGCAAAAAGTAGAATCAAAAAGGAGGGGGAAAGAAGAAAACCCAAGAATAATGTGGGGCACCATCAAGAGAAATAACATGTACTTCATTGGAATCCCAGAACAGCAAGAAGCAAGTAAAGGCACCAAAAAAGTTGTGGAAGAATTACTAGAAGAAAACTTCCCAAGCATAATGAAGAGTGAGAGAATATATATTCAAGAAGCTGAGTGAACACCCTATAGAATAGACCCCAAAAGAAAAACACCAAGCATATACCATGGTCAAATTTGCCAGAATCAAAGATAAGGAGAGAATTCTGAAAGCAGTGAGGGAGAAACAAAAAGTAACCTATAACAGAGAGCAGATAAGATTAAGTGCCAATTTCTCAGCAGAAACCATGCAAGCAAGAAGACAGTGGAATGACATACATCGAACACTCAAAGAACACAAATGTCAACCCAGAATACTGTACTCAGCAAAATTGTCCATCAAATATGAGAGATCAAAATATTCCCAGAAAAACAGAAGCTAAGGGAGTTTGTAAAAACAAGACCAGTATTACAGGAAACATGGAGAGATGTCTATCTTATAGAGGTGCCACAGAAAGCGGATGGACCAGAGTAACTAGCAACAACACCAAAAAGAACTCAACAAAATGATAGCAATAAAACCTTGCTTCTCAATAATCACACTGAATGTGAATGGTTTAAATGCACCACTGAAGAGAAAAAGAGTAGCAGATTGGATTAAAAAACCCCAAAACCCATCACTATGCTGTCTATAAGAGACACACCTGAAGAAATGAAGATAAAGAAAGACTAACAAACAGATTCGTCCTGGAAAGGGTTAAACCAGGTGGCTCCTTGGAGGCAAGGATTCTGAGGCTCCGTCTAACATACTTTGGACATGTTGTGAGGAGAGACCAGTCCT